TACTATTATCATTATTAATAAAATTTTTTTAAAAAATAATAATTTTTACATATTTGATGGAGGTGAAATTTCAGGAATTGCATCAAAATCAAATACTTCTTCAGAACTTTCTTCCATATTCTCGTCTTCTACCTTAATATTATCATTTAAATCATCATAATCCTCATTAAATATTGGATTATTTAAATCAACCATCTCATTAATAATTAAAACATAAACATCTTCATTTGGTATTTCTAATCCTTCTTCACCTTCACTATCATCTTCACTATCACCTTCATCATAGTCTTCATCATTATCATCAAAAAATCCACTTCCTTGGACTAGAGATCTTAGTTCTTCTTCATATCTTTCTTTAGATTCATAATTCAACTCATTTTTAATATTTGAATATAAATAATATCTAATTTTTGCCATATCTTCAATTGTAGACAAACTAAGACATTGCCGTCTTTTTCCATACAAGAATCCTAATGCAGAAAATGCTCTCTCACAAGCAGCATTATGAGGAGTGATTGAGAAAATTTTAATTGCTAAACTCTTTACATATTCATTTGAATCATCAATAACTTGCCACCAAGTTCTTGGTCTTGTGTAAGAAGAAGAATATTGGATAGAAAAAACACCTTCTGAACATTTAAAGTTTGCCATTTGACCTATTAATTCTGCTACTTTATTATTAGAGTGATTTTTTTTATTCATATTCCAAAAGATTTCTCCTGCATATTTAGTTAAATTTGACCAAATAGTTGATTTTAAACCAACTCCTAAACAAAAATAAGATGTCAATAATTTATATATATATTAAATTCTTTTATAATAAAAAAAAATGTTAAATGCTTACCACAGTATAATGGGTGAAGAAAATACGCAAGCAAATATGGATGTATTTCAAAAGATTCCCATCTATTATTGATGGCTTTAATACAATGGTTCCTAAATTCAATTAATCCATGTTCAGGTGAAATTTTGTTGATATTTACTGCAAGTTTTACAAGTTGGATGAAACAATCTGCAAGGTTAACATTTGTTCCTTCCAAATTGAGAATTGCTTTTTGTAATGGCAACAATACAGAAGTTACCAGCCCAACATCATGAAAAAAACCTCTTAGACCAAGAATATGTTTCACCTTATCATTTGTAAGTAAATCTTTATGTCTTTCATAAATCTTTATTTAAATTGAAAATTTTGTTATCATATATTATAATCTTACAAATGACAAAATAAAAAATAAATAAGAAAGTAATTAATATTTAAACCTTTTCCAATGGTTGTTTGAGTTGGAGGACAGAGTTAGTGGTCTCAAACATTGAAGTCCATCTAGTTGGTGTGTACGAACAAAGTCCACCACCTTTAATACCATATTCATCAATATATTTTCTTAATAATGCTCCAACTCTGTGGGAAGTTTTAAAAAAATGGCTAATTTTGTTACTCAACCAACATTATAAGGAGAAGAAGTAATAAAATACTTTCATCAGAGATTTTTTAAATTTCTTTTTAATTCGGCTCCGTGGGGTCCTAAATCCCAAGTACTAGCTAACCCCTGATAAATTTCGGCATTAGGGATGAGAAATCCCTGCTCTTTGAGATAACTAGTTTCATTGTTTAACAACTTTATATGGAAAGGAGTGCTCTAATTGTAATGTTTTTTAAAATATAGATTATTAAACCATAAATAATATTAAAAAAGCCTAAATTTTAAAAAAACATACTCATAATATCTTTTGTTATCAAATTCACACAGTGTGCTATACAATTGGTATTCAAAATGAAAGGATATTTTTCTGAAATTTGTTTTCTTGCACTAAGAATTGCTGAAGCATTGTCACTCACTACAGCTGCAAATTTGTTTGGCCCAATTCTGGATAAAACAC